GCTTAATTTATATTTAAAACCTTTTATTTTTTTTATATGCCGGTACACAAGAGTTTCGGGTGTGGGGGGGTTCAGACCACATGGACCCTCCCCCCTTGGATACATGCCTGATTATGTTGCTTATTCTGTTGTGGCGGCGACACACATCGTTAATAGACCTGCAGACTGAATCTCGGAAAATGAATGTCATGTTTTTACAAATATCTTCAACTCTAAGTGGTTGTGCAATATTATCATTATTTTTAATGTTGTATGGAGTGAATGACGGCATTTCAAATACTTCGAATTGTTCTTCAATTTTCATATTAGTTTTAAATATTGAAGAACTACTTAGGTTTTTTCCTTTCATTGTTGATTTATTTATTAGGCTCTGAGAACATATATTGTCGTGTGCCAATAATGAATGTATGTACATTAACTAATAATACCCATAAACGTTGTGGAAATTTATTACTATCAATTATTATACGACAAAGGTTACGAAATTAAATAATATGAAGAGAACTTTTTGAAGAGTAAAAAAAATGTAAATTGTAAATTCTTTTTTGTTAATTTACGGTTACCGTACCGGTAACATTTTACAATGTAAATTTCCCAGACGTCAAGAACCAAATCACTAGTTAAAATGATTAAAATAGAAACCAGCAGACAAACCTAGTATAATATGCTCAATCAAAACAACATAAAGCAGATCTATAGAAAGCATATTCACATTAGGTAAGTTGTGTAGAATTATGTATAATATTAGGTACATAAAAAAAAAAAAATTAGTCGTTAGATAACGAAACACCAGTTTTTATTAATTTTATTGTTGCTTTTATAATCTGGAGCAAAACGATGATAATAATATTATTTTATTTGATATCAATATAATTTTTTTTATTTAAAAATATTTTATATTTAGATAAGACGAATTAAGTTGAAATATACATTCTGCGAAAATTTCAATCCACTCATCTAAATTCTAAAATAATACAGATCTTATGAACATCATTAATTTAAATTTAAACATCAATAATTTTACAATAATTTATGTTCTTGGTAAATAATTAGAATATACAGACAAAACTACAGGATTTTTAGACAGCATTAAACTGTCATTCTCTTATATTGTATGTAATGTTGATATATCATAATAACGCTTAAAATAATAAAATATATACGATTCTGAATGTATTATTTGGTATACAAGTTTTTCATAAATAATGTCTATTCAAAATCGACACCTGTTACCTTCAATTAAATATTGATTATGAGTTTTGTGAGCATATTGTTAGCAACCTTGACTAATTCGCAGGTATTCACGGTCGTATCTTCGAAATCTTTTTCTAACAATTCTGTTTTTATTGGTTTACTAAGAGCAAAATGTATTAATTTTTCCTTTATTGTTTTCGGCTTTTCCGGCTTTTCCGGCTTTTCTTGAATTTCTTCTATTACTTTTGTTACGAATATCCCAAATTTTTCAAATTGGTTCTCAGTATTTTCTTTTAATTTGCCTACTTTTAAATACAGATTATCTGAATCGTATTCTTTGCCAAAAACTTTAAAATGTGGTATTTCTCCTTTAGATTTATTTTTTTGGAGGTAATTATTGGTTATCTCTGCTCTTTGATAACATAGATTATATACTATCGTAGAAAATTGATCAACATTAGATACAAGTATCGATAAATTTGATGGAAAATTTTCAATATTAAGTATCATCTTATATTGATGGTGAAAGTCATCACAATCATAAAACCGCAATACATTCGATTTTGGATGATTTGCAATGACTAAATAATAAGCGAAACGCCAAACTTTGTAAAATACCGAACCAAGAACAAATTTAAAATATATATCATAGAATTTGAACACATGCGAAGGGTCCAAATTAATTGCACTTATGTTCTTGTAAATTTCATCAATGTACTTCCTTTCACCTTTGTAAAAAAAACTTATCGTGTGTTTGTTTAAAGTGAACAAAGCCGTTTGTTCAATAAATTTTTTATAAAAATTGTCAATATTTAAAAAAGTTGAGTAGTTTTCAACCATCGATACGTTTTGGTTATCATAAATTCTCTGCACAAATGAATTTAAACGTTTATTAAGTACATCATCATTGCCTATAGCCTCGAGATATGTACTGTTCAATAACAAGAAATTGAATTTTGGTGGACTACAGTGATCAATACCATAGCTATTTAAAATAGACATTATCAATGACATGAACATCGGCACTTGACTGGATTTTAAATGATCAGTGTGCATTGGATTCAAGACAACGTAAATATGGTATGACACTTTCAATAGGTCCCTGCAGCCTTTCAACGTACACCATTCGATTACCTCAATAGACCGATTTCTAATCTTTGTCAAAGTTATACTTGCTTGCTTGGTATATTCGTTCCTCACAGCATCTTCTTTGTCGAAAGTCATTTTTAAATATGTGGTTGCTTCGAGACAGAGACTGTACAAATCTCTTACATATTGACACCTGCTAATATCCGTTAGTTTATCATCCACATCGGATCGAACGATTTCATCGATTTTAACATCTTCGTACACAATGTGTTCGACTTTTGATAGATCTCTTAAAAATGGTATGTAATATTTAGTGAATTCATTGCGTAGAAATTTAAACACCGAAATATAACAGTAAAACTTTTCACTGTTTGAATCCATATATGTTGTAAATTCATCTAAATCAGATATGTCTTGATTTTCAGATGTATTATAAGTTTCCAAAAATATATTGGTAATCGAGTCACGAAGATCAGTAATCTTTTTAATCAATTTTTCTTTAATATCATCTGTATTAATCTGTTCATTCTTTTCATACTTATCATTTATTATGCTCGTAAAATAATCAGTGACATCTGTCGGCAATTCTATGAATTTTGGTATTGACTGAACAAGGTCTTCCGGCTTAGAAGTTCCTTCTTGCAAAGCTGTTATTATCTTACTGTATATTAATTTCACAATTGCATTAAAAATTGATTCCTGATACCAAAATATTAGTTCAAGATCATACTCACATTTTTCAATTTTTTTTAATATTTGGTAAATCTTTATTGTTTTAGAATTTGTATAAACTTCTGCATGAGAAATCTCCCATAAAACAGGATGATCCGGGTTCTCAGCCACAATATTTACCAACAACATTTGATCTGTATTACAATATTTTTTACTATCTTCTAAACACAGTTGGTTCATAATATTGAAAATTTTTTCAATGGAGTCATTTTTGTCAGCCGATTTAGTTATCCAGAAATCGAAGAAATGTGATGATTTAATAAAATATTCATCAGCCGTAAAATATTTTTTATTATAAGTGTGAACATCACAATTCGTGGCCATGAACATTTGAATTAAGTTCATTATTTCAAGAATTGAACGAACAACTACATCATCTGATGGCGGTTGACTGGTATCTACAGGTAGCGTCAAAAAGTGAATTTTAAATTGTAGTAATAACATTGTTTTTAATAAAGAAGTATCATAATCTCTTGAATCAGCGAGATGTAAGAAATTGTGCAGTAAAATATTTATGAAGCGTTTAACAAAAGAGTCGATTTTCCTTAATACATCAATTAGATTTTTTCTTACAAAACGTTTATTAAATTCATTGTTATAAGTGTTTTGAAATTTCGATTGATAAAATATTGGAAATTTTTCTATTAATTTAAATAGTTTATTCTGAAGCCATTCAGCAAATGAACAGTTCGTATAAATATAAAATACACTCATGTACATATCTGTTTTTGTTTCTGTAGCTGCAGATGGAACCAAATATCCATACAGAATTAAATCCATATCACTAAGCAGTTTAATACTATAAGACAAATTATCATTTATTGTAAATATACTACTACGTAATTTAATGTAGACAGCTTCCTCTAATTCTGATAATTCTGATAAAACTGAAATATTGTTCAACGTAATGCTCAAAAATATTAATAAAAAATGATATAGTTTATTATGTGACATTTTGACACAACATACAATATTAGATTCAAACTAACTAATGCGTATGAATTTTTTTCAATCGTTGTATTTGGTTTCTAAAAAAGAATACGTCTGTTATATTATTTACCATGCAAATTACAATATGTTCACAAATTGAACATCTGTGTTATAAAATAGGTTAGTTATGTTTATGCATATCGATAAATCCATAACAACATTAGTAATGAAGAATAAAATATAAATTTCGTTTCAAAAATTAAACTGATTCTTATGCCAACCATGATCAAATAAACAAAATACAATTTTGGTGAAGCAGAATCAGATCAATGTCCGCGGCCAATATAATATTTTAAATTCATGCTTTTCAAATACATTTTTATTGTTCATATTATGTAAGTTTTCGATCGTCGTTACCAACTAACCGATTTATAACTTTAATACCTAATTTTAATAATAAATAATTATTATACCAGCATAATATTGAGTTCTAATATTCAAGTAAAACTATTAACTAATGTTTTGGATTTTATTTTATAAATAAATTTTTATATTTTTACACATTTTTCTTAAGTTCGCTTTCACGTCTGTTTGTCTGTTTGTCTGTAATCAAGTCTTGCGCGCTTGATTTGAGGCATTTTTTGACGATGAAAAATTCTGAAAATTGGTATAGACATTGTTCTGGATGACAATACAATAAACCGTTATTATTTTGGGAACCAGGACTTTCTGGTCGGCGATGACGGGTGTGCAAAGTCATCTCCGAGGAAATGAAGGTACGAAGGGTTTCTCTGGGTCAAGGTGGATTAACCTAACCATTAGTCACCATACTTCAGTAAATTAGCCGTACAGCATATAACAGAATAATGTCATTAAAATAAAAATAAAAATAAAAAAGTTAACTGAAAAAAAAAAAATCGGCGTTGGAGAGGAACTCCAAGTGGTACAGCTAAGACTGTACTGCTCAAGCTGCAGATCCCCGTGTAGCAACGGATTGTCCCCACGACTTCGCCATAAAACCCCGTATCCTCTGTGTGCTTCTGCAGTGATACAGCTCACGACTGTATTGCTAAAGCTGCAGATCCCCATGTAGCAACGGATTGTCCCCACGACTTCGCCGTAAAACCCCGTATCCTCTGTGTGCTTCTGCAGTGATACAGCTCACGATTGTATTGTTTAAGCTGCAGAACCTCACACAGTAGCCAACGGTCGTCCGCCTTTACGCCGCCGAGTATCATCGCCGGTACGCACCGTATTTTGTTGCTACCAAACTCGCCGTCACGCGCGCTCGTATCACCGCCGCCGATCGTCGAGTTCTCTGCCATCGCTGCCGTTGGCCGAGCTCCCGTCGCGAGACCTCCCGCCGCACGATATCAATATTTTAATTATCGCACGCAGTATATCTCGTCACATAA